CTCCGTTAGGTACATCCATTTGGACTTTAAGGAACATTCATTTTCAGGTGTCCTATTTTAAAGTGTGAAAAGTCTTTAGAGAAGATTAATCTAATCTTTCTTCGATGTAATATAATGAGGAGAGAGGCTAGGATTGGAGCCCTGGTGTGTAGTCTCAGATGTGCCATTTGCTCTGTCTCCTTAAGAAGGGTGTTTCAATCTCAGCATTATTGATATTTTGGACCAGATAATTCTTTGTTGTGGGGGGCTGTCCTATGCATTGTAGGATGTTTAGCAGTATCCCTGGCCTCTACTGGCAAGATGCCAGCAGTGCCTCCCCAGTTATGAGAGCCAAACATGACTCTAGACATGTGCCTGATACCCTCTTGGGGGCGAAAAATCACTACCAGGTGAGAACCACTGTCTTAAGCTAACCATCCAAGCACTCTGAGTCCTAATTCATCTGTAAAAGTAGGTTCTAATTCCAGTCCTTGTGGGTTTTGGAGGGGAGTGAAATGAGATGATGGATGTACAAGTGTATGTAAATTATACTATGTGACAAATTTGTACAGGGTTTGGTTGCCCTCAGTCACGGTAGCCTACGAACAGTCAAGCCTTCCAAGACTGATACTGGCAGTGGCAAATAGAACTGGGAACTAATGAGGGGGACTGCATGATGAACTAATGAAGGATGACATCAGAACAGGTTATTGAGGCAAAGTATGGTGTGTAGTCCCAACTTTTGAGTCTCAAGAAATGAGGAAATCACCTTCCACGAGAGGCCAGTTGCTTCCTTCTCATGTACACTCCTGGTCACATAACTATCGTACTCAAGATGTCCCCTTGCTCCATTGCCTGCCAGGAATTCAGGGGCTTCCAAATATTGACTGTGACTTCTCTGCTTCATGTTTCCCACTCTTTCTTCCTTGCCTGCACCACAGATGCAGGGCTTCTGGAGTACACAGTGTCCTCTCCGGCCGCCAGCCCGTGCTGATGCACTTCCCTCGGATTGGATGTCTTCCCCAGCCCTCACTTTCTGCCTTTTGAAGCCTTGCTGGCTCCCCATGGACAGATGTATTGGTTGCTTCCTTCTTTGCTCCCCCAGAGTTGTGTTTACATCTCTATTAGAGCACGTGTCATGATCTGCTTTGGATGACAGATGGCAGGATTCGTCTATCTTCCTCTTCTGCTACATTCACCGGCCTGGAGGAGGAAACTGTGTCGTATTCCTTTCCATGTCCCCCAGCCCCTGACACCCTGTCTGCTACCGAGTAGATTCTCCATCAATATTTGAAGAGAATTTCAAAGATAAACAGTTGAACCTAAGCTTAATTTGACCTAAATGCCCAAGTTTGAAATATTAAGCTCCGTGTTTATTTAATCATTGAACAACTATGTATTTAATAGGCCAAGGGGAGCCATTGACCATATTTGAGGAGAGCAATGACATGGTTAAATCTATATTTTGGGAAAACCCGTCTGACTATATGATTTCTAATGATCTTGGAAAATGCATGGCTTTGACTCCTTCAAGCCCCCTTCCCCCAAAGTAAGCAAAACAAATCTTAACTATTACAGGTAGGCGTTGAGGTTTCGCTAATTAATCCTTGTAAAGGACTTTGAGATCTTCCTCTGAAAGGTGACAGAAAAGTGTGAAGCTTTCAGTGACAGCCTAATTATTATTATTACCAGGCACAAAGCTCAGAGAACTTGAAATATCCCCAGGTACCATTCAAAATAGAAAGAGACAAAAAAATGCAAATGAAGAAATTATAAGATGGAATCATTGTATCATAGACTCCTAATGTTGGCAGGGACCTTAGAGGTGGTCTTTCCTGATCTGTTCTCTCACCTTCTCAAGCTGATACTTACACTGCCTCTAGAATGTCCTTGTCCCATACTCTGCCATTAGAACCTGAGGGTTAAGAGCTTGGGTCTCATGGTAGAGTTTCCTGTGTTCAAATCCCCAACCGCTCCCTTGTTAGTAGTGGAAACTTGGGTAAATTATTAGGTCTCAGTTTCTTTATCTATAAAATGGGGGTGAGATTATTTACCACAGGTGCTATGGCACAAGTAAGTGATGTGTGCACATTGCCTCACGTGGTACCTGGCACGTGGTAAATGAATAAACACTAGCTCTAAAAGTCACTTGAGCTAATTAATATATGTGGAAGTGCATAGGCGATTATAAAGCATCTGACCTCCAATTTGTCCCTAGTTTAGCAGCTCCATTGAACATGGTCAGATACTTCTTGCAAATCCCAGCCCTCATAGCTGCCATGTTAGTGTGCATAACTGAGCAATCTTGGTGAAGGAAGTGAGGAGTTTGGAGATAAAATGGCCTAGTCAAATGCCAAAGCCAAATCAGGTCTGTTCTTCTTTCCAGCTGTGGAGGGGTGGACTTTCTTTTTCCTATGGTATCATCTGTTGGGCAGGAGTTCTGACCAGGGTTGTGGGTCAATTGGTATTGCCTAGAACATTCAAGTTCACAGGTTGGACCATATGTTGGTCCTGAGGGTCCAGACTCCATCTTTGTAGGTCTGTATTTTTATGATTGAGTCCCTAGAGCCTCAGGTTTTTCATCCGTAAGACAAGGGTGGTGGCCACTTCACAGGGCTGGCGTGAGGAGAGAGTGAGGAAACACCGTGAAGTTGCTTCAGAAACTGCAAAGTGCTCTGTGGCGGTTAGTGACTGTCACTTTGCAACCCACACGATTTCTGTGAACACAGTTGTTCTCTCTACAGGTTATTTCAGTGGAAGCTCCAGGCCAGGAGGGTCTGCAGAGTTCTCGTTTACATTGGGCATGACCAGCATCCAGAGATAACTGAAAGAAGCCTGAATCTTCTCAGTTAGAATCCCTGCAAAATGACTCATGTAATTGCTCTAAGTATCCTTAGCCTTTATTGTACACCCACACAATTCTGATGCTATAGACTCCTGTGGCATGCAGGGAAAGTGGGAAGGGGGCCCATTTTAAATGCCTGGGATTCAGAAGGGACCACCAATTTGGCCTGTAAAAGCAGACAGGGACTGCCAAATGTCCAAGTCAAGGCACCTGTCAATCATTCCAGACCCTCTGGTTAGCCTTTCTGTCATTCCTCCCATTAGGAAGGAAAAGGCTTTACTTTCCTTTAAAGCTCCTAGGAGGGATTTCTAGGGTCTTCCCCCTCAGGAATTAGTTGTAGGAATAATTGGGCCAGTGGAGTGCAGGAGATATATCCAGCACAGCCCGTGCGCTCCTAGAAAAAGTGACCTAGATCAAGCAGCGGGTGGATGGAGGACTATTGTGGGGACCCCCTGCCACCTACTGACTTACAGCTGAACCCACATTTCCAGTAGCATCTGCTTGGCTGGGACCTGAGGGAGGGGGCAGAGAGAGCTGGGGGAGGCGGGGGAGGGGGAAGGGGGCAAGGGGGATTGGGTTGTCCCTTTCAGGACCAGGCACCCTGTATCATACCCCCCTCCCCCCCACCTAACCGCACACACAGAAAGGAGGAGAAGGTGAGGACTGGGAGACTGGGGGTGGGAGGGAGAGGAGGTCAGCTGTGAAACTCGGTGGGTATTAGCACTGAGCCTGCTGCCTGTGTGAGTGTGAGGGGGAGAGCGAGAGAAAGGGAGGGAGAGAGAGAGGCAGGCTGTGAGAGGAGAGAGGAGAGGAGAGGGGGAGCGAGCCAGCGCTCCGCCAGCATGAGGACGGGCTTCTCTTCCGTGCTCAGTTAATCTGGCTGTCAGTTGGTGTTAACGCTGCCGTTTAAGTGCTCGGATTCCAAAGGGAAACAGACAAACCTCCCAGAAGGAAAGAAGGAAGCAAGCAAGGAAGGCAGGAACTGCAGGAGGAAAAGAACAGGCAGAACAGAGCGAGGAATCAAGGGAAGGGGGGGAAATACCAAATCTATGACTGGACCTGGGCTTCTTTTTCGCCAATGCAAAAAGGAATATGCAGCACATTTTTGCCTTCTTCTGCACCGGTTTCCTAGGCGCGGTAGTAGGTGCCAATTTCCCCAACAACATCCAGATCGGTGAGTGAGAGGGGCAGCCTGGGGAGGGACTTTCTGGGTCTGGCAAGGTTTTTT